CTTAAAACATTCAAACACTAACAAATGTTGCAATAGACCAGTATTTACATGAAAAGCTTTGCTTATTTGTAGCAGAAATTTTTGGAGCACATCTGCATGGAACTGCATAACAACTCTGCAGGTAAAACTGTAAAAGTATTATTCTTGGCAACTTAAGGGTCATAAAACAGCATTTGCATAAACAGCTATGACATTTTTGCAGTTAGAACTGGAATACGAGGGATGCTTTATTGGCTTTATGGTTCATTTCTTTATATTTTCACTTTAAATCCATTGTAGAAACATTCCAAAAGGTTTAGTTTAACGTGTTTGTATCTGAGTGAGCATGTGCAACAGGGGATGTGATGAATGGGCTCAAACTCTGAGTTCAATAGGTGGCAGATTTTTCAAGCAGTAAAGGGATTAATGAAAGCAGACTGAGCTTCATAATGGCAGCAGAATAAGAAGCAGCAGCAGTAGTTGGATGAGATGCATATTAATATTCATGTGACCCCTACACAAAATTTACTTGGGAGTCGTGTCAGAAATTACCAAGAAAACAAAATCACACTTAGTATCACTGATGTTTTTAACAGGTTGAGAAAGAGAAAGGTAGATGGTGCATTTCAAAACAGACAAAAAATTGAAACAAAACAAAAACAAAAGCTCTGCTGTGGCCAAAGCAGGCTTACTTGACACATGACCTCAAGTCTCGACGGCTGCTGCAGCCCTAGAAACCAGCACCGCCACAGCCCCTCCTCCTCTTTCTCTTGTCCTCATTGAGTGACTGCACGCTCCACTGACTGCTGCATCTAAGCCCCCATAACCCCACCAAGGCTGTCGTCCTCCTCCTCCACCTCATCCTCTCTGCTGACTGATCGGGGGCCCCTCGACTCAGCACAAAAACACGGCTGCTCGTCTATCAGCTGGAGGCACGGGACAGATCGGGCCCCTGCCGACTCCCATTCAGCTCCACTGAATGACATTATTGAAATCCCAGCCCCGGCTGTGTTGCATGTGTCGAGGCAATAGGCACACACCTGTCCTCTCAGAACATCTGTCTAAGGAGACAAGATTAAGGAGGTGGGGGAGAGGCTGAGGAATGTGTGGATGTTTTACAAACCCAGCTGTTGTGCCACTCAGCCTGAAAATAGGACGCTTTGGTAGAAAGTGGTGATTTTTGGTTCACTTGTAAAATACTGCTTTGAATGTCATCTAAAGCCTCATTTATACTTCTCCATCTGCGCTGCGCTGCGGAGACACACAACGCCATTATGCGTTGGCGCAAGAGCTCTCCGACGGGCTCACAGAGGGTGACGGAGACATGCCCCAATTTTTACCTGTTTGTCGAAAGAGACGGACACCACACGCTTGTGATTGGTCGGGATGCTGCTTCCTGTAAATTTGTCAACATCACTGCCTTCGCCCCTTAAAAAATGAAAACATATTTAGCGGCAGGCACGGAACATATTGAAGAATGCATCGTGAGAAAAGTATGAAAATATGAACGTTTATTCACCCGTGAATGAAGGAGTACATAGACATGCGGGGAGTGTTTTATTTGTGGACGGAAAATACGAGAAACGTGGGTTTTGAGGTGCCGATGGAGGATAAACGTGTTTGTGTTCAAAAGTTTCTGAAATACATTAAAACAATGTAAACACAACAGTAAATACACTATTTTGGACCAGATACGTGACTGTGATGGTGACATGACACCTCAGAATAGTGCTACGCCCTCTGTTGTCCTGGCGGGGAATTGTTTTGCAACAATCTCCAGCTGACAGAGAAGTCTGAGACCATGGCGTTCTCTGGCCAGCTGAGAGACATGTACTCAGTCTTCCTTTGGGTCTCTTCCCGTTTAGTTGTTCCGGGAAAACCTCACCAGGGAGGCATCCAGGAGGCATCCTAATTAGATGCCCGAGCCATCTCAACTGGCTCCTCACGATGTGGAAAATGTGGCTCTAGTCCGAGCCCCTCCCGAATGACTTAACTTCTCACCCTATCTCTAAGGGAGCGCCCAGACACCCCGCAGAGAAAACAAAGGTCACATTTAATAAATCTTCTCGAAACCCTGAAGGGATCACATGTTGAATCAGGTTCTTACTGGTTGTTTTAGCCCATTTTAAACTGAACCTGAAACCCAAGTGCACCACTCCAGAGAAGAGCATTAATCTGTCGTAATGTGTTGTACACAGCCTGCAAAAAAATAAAAAGTCTTTTTTGCTGTGATGCTCACGTGATTTATTATATCTGCAACTAGCCTGTGGAAGAAATCTGCATATTGTCAAGATCAGATAAATTCTCGTTCGTCCATTCTCTGAGATTTGGGTGATTTTTGTCTCTTCCTGTTGTGCGCTAGTGGGAATCCCCTTCTTACTTTAGCAAGCTTTAAAGACTGTGCTCAGCACTGGTCATGAAAAAAACACCTGTTTAAATTTGAAACTATTCCAGGGAAAATGTCTTTTCTTTACTCTGGTTTTAGCGTTTAATTAAAAAAAAAACTTTTTTGTTTTGTTTTAAGCAGATGTTAGTGGGTTGACACGATTACAAGCTGTTTAAAACAGCATCTCTCACTGAGTTTTAATGCAATACAGTTTTCACCTGCCCCCTCTGTCTTTTAAAACTTTTATCAGTGCACAATGAGCCAGGATCAGCTCTCTGGAATTTCCAGGATTTTTTCTGAACATTTGTTGTTTTATGCTCTGCCCTAAATTTTAAGTCAAGTTTTGAGGGCAGACATTCAGGAATTCAAAAAATGCATAGTAACCTCAAAAACTGTCTCACAGACACAAATGTGTAGTAGATTATTACTAATAAACTAATACAAGCCCTGCTGACTGACAGATCCTGGTCAAAATGAAAGGTCTGTGGATTTTAAATGTGCCTGGCAGCACCTGTTTATCACGCATTTCATGCAAAGAAATATTTGAAATGTGCAGCTTTTTATTGCTTAAGTTCATAAATCAGTCAATCAAATTTTATTTGTTTAGCGCCTTCCACTGCCTATTCAGAAGCCCAAGACGCTGAGCATGACATTAAAACAGTAAATGAGAAAAAAGACAATGAGACAGATTAAAAACTGCATTAAAAAATGACTAAAATGGCAAAAATATGAACTGTTTTTTCTCCTCTAAAATAAAAACTTGATATGTTAATTTCAAGGTATAACAAAGAATCTTTTTCTTCTGGGTGGATGATCTGAACCATTGGTCCACTTAACTGTCAATCATTCTGATGAACCATTCACGCAAGGCCGTCACCGTACGTCATCATACGTTGCTGGGAAGTTTTCACTTCCTGCACATGCACAAAGCGAAGGTTGGGCTCCCCACAGACGCCTCTGTTGCTGGTTGTCTTCTCGACAGGTAAGCTAAAGTTCAGCATACTATTTGGAGAAATTCATTTCAGATTGCTGCTAGTAGAAGAAGTTGGCTGCAAGGCTGGCAGCTACTTGTAATGAGGATACCTGGGTGTTCTTTCTCATGTGCATTTATTTTTTCCAAAACAAGGAGCGGCAGTTCTTTTCTGAAATTCAGAAACATCCTCCTCTATACCTTTAACAAACAGACATTTTTAAGTAAATAGACTTAAATCTAAAAACATGAAATTTCCTAAATTTGTTGGGTCAACTCTTTTCTGTGTTGCTGGTTCTAAAACAATGTTGTCTGTGACTATTTCCAACAACAAGACATTGTCTTTTTTTACAAATGTTTTACCAACAGTTCTTGTCAGTTTTCCAGTAAGTAAGTAAGTAAAGTTTATTTATATAGCGCCTTTCACAGATATAAATCACAAAGCGCTGCACAACATGAGTAAAATCAGGGCAAATACCTCAAACCAATAAAAACATCATAAAAACAGTAGAAGTGACAACAATAGTAACCAAAATTAGGAGTAAAAACAAAGTCAAGGTGTGAACAAGAACAAAGCCATCTTTTAGAATATTTAGTGGGGGAAAGCCTGGATGAAAAGGTGAGTTTTAAGATGTTTAAGACCTCTACAGATTTCAAGAGACGTTGCCCAATTTCCTTGAAAATAAATTAAAAGCAAAATAAATAATTATATTAAAGAAAACTTAATAGAGATTAATTTTGTTTTTGTTAGGCATTACACTGATAAGTCTCTTCCTAAATGAATTCACCAGCTTTAACAATTCTGCCTTCACAGACCACACAAAACCTAAAGGCTTCAAGTGGCCCACGAGCCACGCTTTAGTTGCCCCTGATACAAAGAGACACATACATTGTATATAAATGAAATACACCCCAATGATGGTGTCATTATGTTAATTGTCTGTGTGCTACTAATGCAAACTTTTACATCAGTAAACAGAGGACAGCAGGCAGTACTGTGAATCCGTAGAGCATTACTCAGTGCATTGCATTCTGGGTAGTTAGTGATAGTAAACTGGAGGCTGCATGCCTGCATCATGAACAAGGCCCAATCTCAATACTCACACTGCGCCCTGCGGTCTTCAGCAAAGTGCACTTGGACAAAGTGCGCAGTAGGGTTCGAGTGTGTAGTACTCAAGTGTGCAAATAATTGCCAAATTGAGACATCTTTTTGGTCATAAGATCCCCCCCCCAATCTCATTACATGATAACTCTACAGAGAGCACTGTGTCATCGATCACAACGCATGCCAGGATGCTGGTCGCTGTGAAACTTTTTTTCAAAAACCTTTATTAACAACTTTCAAACAAACAGCACATACACACACAGGTACATTTTGCTTCATTGCTGCTTTGTCTAAAACATTCAGAGCATCAACTAATCATCCTAAAATCAACTAATTTCATTAGAAAATGCATATTTTCAGAAAAGAAACTTGAGACTTTTCTCCTGCAGCAATGAATTGTGGGTAATTCCCTTGCCTGCGGTCCGCATCGCTGCAGACTTGGGCCCAATCCCAATAGTCGCACTTGCACCCTCGTGCCCTTTATTTGCACATTCCTGGCCAGGGGTGCGAGTGTGTAGGGTGTCCCGATTCTCAAGTGCGGAAGTGGACCACGTCCCCATTGCACACTTAATCTGCACTTCACCCAAGTCCGCAGTGATGTGGACCTCAGGCAAGGGACTTACCCACAATTCATTGCAGCAGGAGAATTTATTTCAAGTAATTGCATTGTTGTTTGTTTGAAAGTTGTTAATAAAGGTATTTGAAAAGTTTCAAAGCGACCAGCATCCCGGCATGCGTTGTGATCGATGACACAGTGCTCCCTGTAGAGTTATTATGTAATGAGATTGAGGGGGTTATCTTATGACCAATAAGATGTCTCAATTCGGCAATTATTTGCACACTTGAGTACTTCGCACTCGAACCCTACTGCACACTTTCTCCAAGTGCACTTTGCTGAAGACGCAGTGGGAGTATTAGGTTTGGGCCTTGGGTGAAGTGCACATTAAGGGTGCAATGGGGGCTTGGTCAACTTCCGCACTTGAGAATCGGGACACCCTACGCACTCGCACCCCTGGCCGGGAACGCGCAAACGAAGAGCGCAAGGGTGCAAGTGCAAGTAGTGGGATTGTGCCTATATGAGTAGTGTATGCTGCCAAATAATGAGATTTTGATTAAAGAGCAGACAATTGCATTTTATAAAAGGATGAGAATGATATTTTCCAGCACCAAACTATAAACGCACACACAAATCATTAAAATAAACTCTAATCAATGTATTTTCATTATTTATTTATCTAATTAAACTGTTTCACTTGCAGCAAACACGTAATACAGATTTAAAAGGGTGTATTTCTGGCGAGTTTAATTTTATTGCACTTAGGCTGTACTTTCCCATAATGCACTGCGGTCCTCAATGACACTAGTAATTTTTTATTATTGAATACGTACCATTCTTTAAATAAAATTATCATAATATTAATATAGAAAAGCATCTAATAAATAAGAAAGAAAATCCCACACATACCGCCGTCTAACAATGAATTTCTGTAAAAATCTGGTTATTTAGCTAATGTAAAATGAGCACATTTAAAATTAACCCTAATATTCTAAAATAACCATATTTAGAATGATGCCTTTTAAGGGTAATGAGTTCATGAAACAGAAAGTTGAAGCACATGTTTTTGGTACTTTTCTTGAGAGTAGCTTACGCTGCAACGATGGAAACTTCAACCATAACCCACTTTTTCTGTGTGATCTTTCTGATTTTGACTGAAGAAAAAAAACACGTACACAAGACGTGGCACCCAAGCTGAGTGTGAAAAGTGAAAATAAAAGAAAGAGCACAGAATTGACAAAAAAAATTAATATAAAAAAATTACAGAAAAGAAACGAGATGCACGCCTGGTAAAACATGTTTTAACTAGTCGTTTGAATACACAGCTCTAAATATTGAGCCACTGGGTCACAGGAAGTGTTTATTTGGTCTGGGGATTTTATTTTGGTGGTTTTCCATTAGTAGCTTTAGTAGCAGATTCTATAGACTCATCTAAATCATCAGTGTGACTCAATAAAGCCACAAGTACTAATAGTTTATTCAGTTAAAACGTTCCTCAATATGTGCTTTATTTATTTATTTATTTATTCAAAACACAAGATGTCACTGAGCGAGCTCATGCTATAGGTATAATGTACATGTTTAAAGAAAAAGAGTCTTTCAGCAGGGAAGGCAGTGCATGGAAGAATTTGACCTTGGCGTTCGTTATCCGGCTCCTCTTCAGTCTGTTATTCTTTAATCACAGTGAGAAGAAAGGAATCAGGTGATGCTAATACAAATGTTTTAATGTTTAATAAGACTGAATGATCGTTATGCATGGATAGATGGAAATCATTCCATTTTAAAAGACTGTTGGCAAGAGAATACTTGAATCCCCCCCCCCCCCCACCACCACCACCACCAAAAAAAAACTTGCGTTTCATGACCTCACTTTGAAACAGTCTGATGCCTAACAGACATAAATTCCTCCATCTTTGATCTCCTGTCTGCAGTCCTCCTCTCCTACAGTTGCAGCACAAACCTGCCCAGACAGGAGAAGGGAAACCCCCGCACATGGTGTGAAAGCGCTCTGCATCCTGAATCACAGGCTTCATCTGCAAGCATAGGACACACAAACATATGACTATGGTTACAGAGCTCAACTGTGAAAATTAGAAATCCTTCGCTGTCTGGAGCACAACTCTCCGTCCCTCTCTCTCTCTCTCTGTCTCTCTCTCTCTCTCTCTCTCTCTCTCTCTCTCTCTCTCTCTCTCTCTCTGTCTGTGAGTCGATGGGGGTGAGGACCCAGATTAACTTCGGGCAAAGAAACGGCCTGACCAGATAAAGTAATGGTGGTGGGTCAAAGAGGCAGACAGATGGAAAGACAGACAGCAGCGTTTCTGAATATGGATGCGTCTATAAGAACGCAAGATTAAGCTCCCGCCTGGCTGCACGTGTGCTCTTTTGTAGAAGTCCGTATACATTTGCACGTGTTTAGATTCTTTATTCCAGGGAATGTTTGACCCTTGACCATCTTCCTTTGATGACCCCCCCCCCCCCCCCCCACACACACACACACACACACAAACACACACTCCAAACTCCCCCACACATTAGCGCACCCAACCCATTTCACCTCCCTCATTTCCTGGACAGCTGTCAGCAGGGACCCTACCGAAGAAAAAGGTCCATCTGTTGCCTTCCTGTGTGTGTGTGTGTGTGTGTGTGTGTGTGTGTGTGTGTGTGTGTGTGTGTGTGTGTGTGTGTGTGTGTGTGTGTGTGTGGTGGGGGGATAGAATCCTCTTTTCACCCGGTTAATCCCTGCTGTTGTCCTCTCTTATGCTCAACGGCACGCTTCTGAGGGTTACGGCTGTTTTAAATGCAGACACAACTTGCATCCATGTCTAATCTGTTTAGTGTGTGTGTGTGTGTGTGTGTGTGTGTGTGTGTGCATGCGCGTGCGCGTCTGTGTTGTCACTTATTTAAATAAGCATGACCTTCTTGTGTAAAAAGTATGTTTTAGCTGATCTTCTGTCGACTGAAACCGAGAGAATACATCGTCGTTTTCTTTGATGATTTCAAACTCATGCATCATAAGTGAGCTAAAAAAAAAGATAAACAACTTAGAAGTTTTCCACTTTTTTTGTGCAAGTTTCAAATGACCATGTTTGTGGGAGTGGTCAAACAGTAATTGAGGTTTGATTTAAATTAAAAAAATGAAATGGTTCACTTCTTATTGCAAGTTTTTAAGGCCACAGATTTTACCCAGCTGACAGGTTTCGACTGAGGCCCCCGGTGGTCTGCAACTAAACTGCCACCAAACCATATGTTGTCATAACGTCATGTTGGAACACACAGGTTCTTCTTACCTTAAAGGGTTAGTTTATGTTTAGTTGGGTTTCACTGAGTGGTTTTAATCAGTCCTTTCCTCCTAGAAGCATTCAGAGAAATATTAGTTTCTTATTTTGAAGAATCAAGGAGAAGATCAGGCATCTGCATGCTTTGATTTTATTTTACCGAGACCATTTAAAGTACACTGTAATTATTCTGGGGGTCTAATCACAAAAGGGGATTAATGATGAAACCAGAAACAATGTTCCTTTTTCTGATGAAAAGCAACAACTGTGAACACACAGTTATCTCAGCAAAACAAGTATTTTCATTGAGGAAATGAAAATAGTGCAAAAAATGGTCCCCTGCAAAATTGACTAAACTTAAAAAACTTAATTTCCTGCTAAAAAAATAATTAATGTGTAGATTTTTTAATTATGAAGTGAAAAGAGCCACCAAATATTATTTGAAATTCTTTGAACCTGTTCTTGAAAATGTCCAGCTTGAGTTTCAGATAAGAAATTCACCCTGTTTCAGAAAATGTTTAGTAAAATCAAAAAAGGACTGTAGAGTTTGCTGAAGTGGAAAAGTTAGCTCTCTGCAGTTTTAAAGGGAGACTATGCAGTTTTGGCTTGCTTTTAGCACCCCCTAGTGTCCGTTTGAAGAACCGAAACCAAAACATATCTCCTTGCTGTGCGTTCGTCTTTTTTAACAGCTGAAACTTCTCCCATTCTTCATTATATTGTACAATATATATGTTATGCATTGATATTGTATGTGTGTGGTGGAGTTGGGAGTTGGTAATAATAACAGGTTCTTCTACCATACCATACCATACCAACTTTATTGATGTGGCGCATTTAAAAACAGAATGCGAGCTGACCAAAGCACCTCTCATTGTAAAAACAGAAACATGCAATTGCCAATATAACAGACAGAATACAGCAAGCAGATGAAAACCGATTAAAGCAAATAAAACCAGGTAAAAAGAAAAGATAAAAGATCACAATCTAAAAGCTTTATTGTAGAGGCGAGTCTTCAGGTGTTTAAACTGTATATAAAATGAAAAAAGAGCACGCCCTTTGGACGTTGCAAACAAAAATTAATTTATGAGGTGCTTACTCACATAGAAAACCTGCAAACCACATGACCTCATTGAAAGATGAGCAAAAGCTTTAGGCAATTCTCTTTTTTAAACCTTTAAAGCCACAAATTCCTTTTCTTACAGTCTAATCTGTTTCCTTTAGAAGAGGATATTAGGCTGGAAATCCCCTGCTTGTTCCTGCTATCTCGGAACATAAAATACATCCAAACATTCCTCCTGACTTACAACAAGCACAGTAAAAACAAAAATAAAAAAGTCACTGCTGGTTCAGATTTTATCGAGGAAGCAGATTAGACTTTGATTTAATTCTAAGAAGTGCAGCTAAACAGTCAATAAAACTCCTTTGACGGGTAGCTCTGGGTTACGGTGTGATAAGAGGAAAGTGAGAGAGGAGAGTTTTACAAACAAAGCATCAGTGTTATATAAGTGGATCAGAGAGGAAAACAAACACGTTCTAAGTGAGATTACCAAGGATCATGAACAAACACAAAATCAACCACATCTAGCTCAGTTAGAGTACAGCCCTGGAAACAAAACCAAGAGATTAGAGCCATGGAGGCAGCACGTAGGCTGCAATGCAAGCTCCCTTTTCTAATTTTACCTCTGACTTCCAACAGTCAAATGTTTAAATTTTTAATATGATACAAGGCTGTCCAGTTCAGTTATGAAGCTTTATTTTGGTAAAGAAATAGGTTGTTTGTAAGCTGATTCAAATAATTACAATTGATATAAAAACTTAAATTTTTATGATTTTGAATTTAAAGGCAAATAAAATCATCTTTTCTGAATCTCTACATTAAATCTATCGTCTAGAAAGTGAAAGAAAAAAGAAAAAATGAATTACTACTCGCATATATTTGTCTCGATATACTTACAATTAAACATTTTTAAAATGATCACAACAGAGTGGGGTAACTGTGAGAGTTATTATGTCACAATCAAATTCTCTCCACCTATTTAATCAGTATTTAATATGTGTCTAACCGCCAAAACGATTCATCACATACACACCCCGAGCAGCAAACACCACGCTGTGGTTACACAAGCAAAGTTGTAACACTGCACACAGTGATAACAATCACATGCTTCGTTGCCATGACAGACAGTTTAGATCGAGGTGTTTGTTGCAGCCTCTGTCGCCTCAAAATGTTCCACCTGTGGAGAACAAATGGAAGGTTTTCCATCTGTCAGACACAATAGGACATCTGCCAACAAATGTAAGGTACAAGTCAGCCACAAAAGTTCAAAATTAAATCATCATAAATTGTTTTGATGAGAGTTCTCTCCGGGTACTCCGACTTCCTACCACAGTCCAAAAACATGACTGTTAGGTTGATTGTTCTGTCCAAATTGTCCTTAGGTGAGTGTGTGTGTGTGTGTGTGTGTGTGTGTGTGTGTGTGTGTGTGTGTGTGTGTGTGTGTGTGTGTGTGCGTGTGTGCGTGTGTGCGTGCGTGCGTGTGTGCGTGTGTGCGTGTGTGCGTGTGTGTGTGTGTGTGTGTGTGCATGATTGCTTGTCCTGTGTGTCTCTGTGTTGCCCAGCGATGGGCTTGCTCTCTGTCCAGGGTGTACCCTGCCTGATTGCCCAATGACCGCTGGAGCAAGCCCCCCCCCCCCGGCCGCAACCCTACGTGGACAAAGCGGGTTCAGACAATGGATGGATGGATGTTTTGATGAGAAACCAATTATTACACATCTTTGGGGGGCAGATCTGTGGTCCCTCACACTCTCTATTGGATGCTCCTATAGATAAACCTTACATAAACAAGCGCATGTACACACACAGGTGCTCACATGGTGCTCTCACAAGTATGGGCTTGGGCACGTTCAACACATGTCTTAAGGCTGTCGTTGCTACTAAATGCACTGTGATTTATTGTCATGTGATTGTTCAGTTAAACAATGTTGATTTTATATTTCTTCAAGTTGACGCAGTGATAGCTTGCTCCTGTTATATTGTTGTGTGTCCCATTTTTTGTCAATTCTTTCTCTTTCTGCAGGTCTAGAAGCAGACTCTTGTTCATTATTGTTTATTTTTGTGGACCCCCCCCCCCCCCCACCCACCCACCCACCCCCACCACCTTTTGTCTTTTCCTTTTTCTTTCACCTCTGTCTCCGTGTCTGGTCGGAATTACACAGCATTCAAAAACAATAACAATAAAATTTTAAGCATCAGGCGTGACATTAAAAGCAAACGCTTTGATGTTCCACCTGAGAGTAAATCTGTAAGGCTTGTCACCAGCATTCAGACATCAGTTCTGTTTGCTTCACAGCCAGACAGGACACGGGAAAAAATAAATAAAAAAAAGAGAAACCAATTATTACCTTTTGAATTGTTGCTGGTTTTAGACACGTCTCTTCATAACTCTTTTTATATCTTTTATTTCTTTTTACTGAATAAAGCATTGAATATCTTAAAATTGGAGATTCTTCTTTCAGATCGCAACTGAAAAAGTAATTATATATATGAAAAGTGTTAGAAAAAGGAAAGCACTTCTGTTTGATGATTGTTTATGCTACTTACAATTTAACAAAAAAGGGACAATTCGGTGTAAACAGGGCTTTCAGAATGTTGAAATTCTGTCTACGTAATGGATAATCAAGCAACAATAAAATTTTACTGCACTTGAGTTGAGATTCACATGATTAAAGTTGTAAACAGCCTCAGAAAACCAATATGT